CGATAAGGCTCGGGAGTACATTCCATAACTCGAATTTCTCAAATTTCCTTCGAGACAATCAAGATTTTCGAGACTCTAACAATTTCCAAGACCGAATTAATCTATTACGACAGTCGAGAGTTTCGAGTTATGTACGAAATACATACATAATGCAGATTTGGGGCTATTCGAAGTGTCCACAGCTACAGGCAGATCGAATGTTTCGAGTTGCGTAAAGCAAAATTCTCGTTACAGTTTTACGGGGCGGTGGTGGTTGAAATGGCCTGGTGCGATAATAATTATGCAATTTACGTCGGGATAATCGCGTGTTAATGCACGCTGACGATACATTTATCAGCCAGTGTTAATTGCGGCGAAGAAAGGGCCGTGATGTTGAAAGGACGTATACGCGTACATGTTTTTCGAGTAGTCGCGAGAAAAAAGAAGGGAGCCAACGATACCGTGTTAATGACTCTTGACACGTGACGCTTCGATTAAATTTAATGGATCTCTTTAAGCAAAATGATTTCCGTTTACATAACGGTACGAAATTCTCGGAGATGAAAATTTATTAAGTATCTCTGATTTTTTTTTTTTTTATGTAGGTTTGCAGTAAGGGACTTAAGTGTAGAATTTAACAAAAATTTAGTAATGATTTGTTCAAACTTTATCAGTGTGTTTTATATGTAACATCGAGATCAAAACAGCAATTTCTTGAATGCTTCATTAAAAAGTTGTAAGTTGCACTTGCAACGTAACGTAAGCATAAAGCTGTGCGTGTTGTTCTCCACTTTGTGAATGCAATATCGTTGACATTGACGCAAGCATTCAATTTACGGAAAGAATCTTTGGTAGTGAACTGAACTGAAACTGTAATTTCATTTTTATCTATAAAAAACGCTGACAAAGTTCAAACACTGAAATCATTGAACGCACTGTAGAATCTTAAAAAATTCAAATAAAAAATTTAAATGAACGTTACTTAGCCACGTGGTTACTAAACTTTGACGTGATCTCAACGTAAATCTAAAAGAAAGAGAAGCACTGATAAATCTCGTCTGTCAAGATCAAACACAAACTCCAGCAACATAAAATGGCCAGAACGTTGGTCAGTTCGCCAAATCGGGAATACAATAAACCGGAAAATAAAAATGTCGAATCCTCCCTTTCAAACTCAATCAAAGCTTTCAGTTCGGCTAGTTCTACAATGAAACGTCAAAAAGTACAAAGAGAAACGTTTCATCGTCCGTGAAAGCAGTGGACAGGTTTATCGTGCTCAGTAAAACGATATCTGATTCCCGAAACTGTAAGTGTTCACGAATTACCGGAGGAATTCCTCTGGAACAAAAGTACGCCTGTACTAAATCAATAATTCTAGTTCTATCTGACTGCATCGAGAATGGAGAATACAACGCGTATAAAATAAATATTATAAATAAAATGTGATTGTATCAAGAAAACTAGCATTGAAATATTAAATAACTATCACTTATATAAATGTAAGCAAAATTCTAAACAAAATGTACGAACTAGATTGTACAATAAATTATAGGAAAAAGATTTATAATCAGAATTTCATTCACCTATAATTTGATAAAAATTCAATTATTATAAATTTGGTAGTGTCTTTGTGGAATTACTTTATGTAACCTTCGAATTACACAGAACTGTAGAGAGTTAATGGTTAAAAAAGTACACAATAAAATCTATGAAGTTCGTGAACAAGAATAATGGCATATCTATTCTCTAAGACATAGAATGTTTTTTTGAAATCGTTGAGTTCAATATTTTTAATACAAACGATTCTCGACGATTCATTTGATTTGTTCAAATTATTTTAAAGAAGCTCCGATCTATTACTCCCTTCGATTCGATTCGAGACGAAATTTATTACGCGATAACTTAATGGTCACTCGGAATCATTAAACTGTGAATTTACGTCTAGTCTAAAAACCTCATGAACAATCTTCAAATACCTATCAATGCCTTTTAATGCCTCGTATTACCTTCAAATATCAATTTTGAATCGCTCTTGCAATAACTGTGTAATGGTCGCGACGAATAAAACCATTGCAAATCGCGATTGAATTACGCACTGTCAGGGACAAGCAACTGTCCGGATATTTTTTTTTCCTGTTTTTTTTTTTTTTTTTTCAGTAGTAGTATATTTCGTAGCGTGGATCCTTTCGGCAGCCTTCTATTAAAAATGAAAAAGAGAAGGAAAGAAAAAGGAGGAAAGAGCTGTAGCGGTAAAGTGTATTAATTGCCGAGCGAAGCGAAAGATTACCGGATGAACCGGCTACTCGAGCCGAACAAAGGTAGCCGATGTGTATAAGTACGTATTACCGTTATGTCAGTCCACGAATGATGGATGAACAGGGTGTGTTGAGAAGTGCTATCGAATTCACCAACATGTTCCGCGGAATACACGCATGTTATACGTGCGTATAACTGAAAAGCTTGTGAAAAGTTTAGGTTGCTCTTCAAGTAGAAATGCTTCGTCGTTATTTTTTTTTTTTCTTTCTTTTTTCTTTCAGTACTTTCGACTTCTTTCCCTTGTTGAAAATGTTTACCCTTCTTCGTCCGAACATTCTTTATTGAGTGAAAACAAGGGATTGCTCTTCAGAGAGAAGTGTGAATTTTTGATATTCTTGATCCCTTTCCTCGTTAGCTGTTTACCCTTTTTTTCGTCTGAATGTCATTATTGGTAGATTCAGAGTCGAGTATCGCTTTGCATATTCAGATAGAGTTGTGAGAAGGAACGGATGAGAGTTATTGTATAACGGTGTATTCGTGTGAAGTGAAGTGTATAAAAGAGAGTTGAATGGCTTAAGAATTATCGTACGTGTCGTGTTTTCGAGTGTATTCGCGTATTTAACTCTGATAATTCCCATTTTTTTAGAAGTTCAAGAACGTTTGTAAATTTAGGGTCAAGTGTCCTTTTGTGCATCTGAATGAGAATACTGTATAATCGAATGTAAAATATAATGACTTAAAATATCCTCGCAACATGAGAGAAGAAATGATAGGAACATCCCACGTGAAGTGAAGTGTATAACAGGATTAGTACGAGAGCTGAATGACTCAAGAATTGTCTCCTCGTATTTTTGTATTATTATAACCGTATGTACTTAATCTTGAAATCACTTCTCTGTCAAATTCTCGAGAACATCTTATCGTACGTTTAATTTTTTATCATACGATCCAAGCGGTGTGTATGATCGTTTAGAAGTTTTTGCGACACTGTGAACGTGTATGCCTCTGAAAGCATTCTACTCCACAATCGAATTACAAAGTCAAGTTACTCAATCTACGGATGACACGCGTAACTACGGATTATGCTAATTTCCTCGTTTCTCTTCTCTACCTATCTCCTTCCTCCCGGTTAGCTCGTCGTTGGTTTCCTTTTTCTTCCTTCAATGATCGCGGCACAGATGATTAATAGGGCAATTCCATTTCGAAATTTCTGCGCTTCTCAGAGCGAGCCTTCGTTTGGTGTTCGAACACGTTTCGGTATCGTACAACGTTACATTTGAGAATGAACAAGCAATTTGTATAAAGAGTCGTGTGAATGCAGAAAAATATTGTGAAAACGTGTAGCACCGAGGTTGCGTAATTCTTGAGAAATATTTCGCTGATGCATTGCAACAACTTTTTCGCTGATAGATTTATTTGTTCCTTTGGCGTGTCTTTTTGTCTCTTTTCGTGAAATATTGCGAGATATGCAGCAAACGCGCCTTATGTTTAGAAAATGAAGGAGAGAAAAAAGATCGTTGCAAACAATTCTTAAAGAATATGTACACGCAACTTTTTTTCTAGTAAATTTATCTTTCTATGGTAATTTAAAATATTACGATACGTGATGAATGATACGTTTTATGTTGAGAAAGTAACAGAAAAAAAAGAAGATAAAAAATTATTGCAAATAATTGTACCAATATTTTATTATATAGCAGATATGTCCTATTATAATACTTATTGATACAGTTTGTCTTTTGATCACGTTTTGTAGAGCGAAGTCCAAAAACGGCGGACGTCTGCTTAGGGAAAAGTTGGAAAAAATTGGCCTAAACTTGCCAGCAGGAAGAAGGAAGGCCGCCAATGTCACGCTCTTGACATCCTTAGTGGAAGGTGAGTTAAAACACTTGTTGAACCTTCATCTTTTATAATTAAAATAAGAGTGAATTAATCACGTAAGAATTATCAACCAGTTGATGTAAACGTTTACATTCTTCTTTTCCTTTGATATCCGATACGAATTACTTATACGAAAAGATTAAGAATTCAAACATGTAAATCATAAGGTGCAATTATTTTAATTTGTGCCGAGCATAGTGGATCAAAGGCGAGGAAATATTTGCATTTGCATAAATAATGTTATGATTAATGCGCGATACGTGTTATGTTAATATCAACATTAGGTGATATTAAATTGATTGAAACGCGTTAACGAGAACTGATAAAAGTGAAATTACAAGCATTAATTATACAAAGTGTCGACTATGAGAAGATGTTTATTTACTATGTAATTACATATATTAAATTTAAAATCAATTAACATTCGTATTCCAATTAAAATTCTTTTCCAAAACAAGTAAAAAGAGCTCTGGAAATACGAATATCTCGGAGTGTTACTATCGTTGCAAATCGTAATCGTCGTGACTACACGCTACACTAAATTATAATCCAGTTTAATAATTTCTACGGCATCGAGATCATTCTGATAAAATCGTTCCGCGTAAATTGAATGACATTGAGTACATTTTAACGATAGCTGAGGCACACTAGCGAATAACGAGGCTAAGTCAATTCATCAGGATCATTTCTACAAGATGTTCAGTGTTAACACACGTCGAAGCAACGAGATTGAATGTATAAAAGCCGATGTACCTCGGTAAAGTTCCAACGACTCCACTGGCGGATTGCTTGGATATTTGTGAGAACATTGATTATAATTTGTGATCGATCGGTTCCTTCTTTCATGCCACTAACATATCGCGAAGAACAGCTGAGGTACGTGTAATCGATGCATATTTCAGCGGTCGGTTTCTCGATGTGAAATATCGTCGAGGTGATAATTATTACATTATTAAGCGTTTATCTCGTTAAATAAAAAGATAATGTTGAAGCAATTAAATTCATTAAGAGGAGATTATTCAATAGTTATGACGCAGATTCCCAGCCTCGGATATATAACTGATAGATCGTGGATTGGTAGACAATATAAATGTACAAAATACTTGTTACAGTATTTAGAGAGTGACAGAATTCTCACGAAGATATTTGAACGTTTATTGTAACATGTGTAGAAGAACTTTCGTGTAGATATATGTTGTATGAAATATTTTGAAATTTCAGTGACACTATAATTATAATATATTGGTAAGGTTTGTAAGTGGATGCTAAGAAATTTGTAAGATGGAAGGATTATTAATTACAATGTAATTGTGGGCTGTTCGTGATCCCTGTAAAAAATATACCTTCGTCAATTATAATAATGACAGTCAGTTCTCATTACGATATTAATGAAATGTGAAAATCTGTTTTACACGATGCACATAATAAACTCGTTAAGAAAAATATCCTATAAGTACCCGATAATACTTCTATCGATTATAGATTCTGTTTCCTTAAAGGCATTCATAAAAATCGAGATCTGCATAAAACATTATCAGCGTGCATCGTGCGTTCCCAAGCTGTTTATTTCAAATCGCTGCAGCTCGTCGGACAATAAATTTCTGTTTCATTAACTGTCACGACGGAATTTCGCTATAGAGGAGCAAGAGAATGAGGCATGTGCAGCTTCGCTTAATAACACACAAACCACAGAATCAATTCTATGAAGTCGCCGGGACCCTATTCCCGGGCTATCCCGTTCACCGATCTAATTAACTGTCTGGCAACGTAGCAACGAGTTTTCAAACTCGTTTCGTCGGACGCTTAGAATCTTCGTTTCTCGATGGCGTTTCGAAGACGGAAGTTAATCTCGAAGATAACCCGCTCGAACAGTCGCCGTGTGTTTCTATACCTCGACCGGTATTCTTTCTCTCCCCCTCTTCTCTTTCTCTTTCTTTTTTTTTCTTTTTTTTTTTTTTGCTTCTTCGTTCGACATGTCATGCAGATGTAATGTACGAGGAAGAACATAACGAATATATTCGCCGATCGATAACTATTTGAATAACTGGAATAAATATATAGGAAACGATATCGTCGAGCAAAATCTAATTAGATATGTGTTGCATAACACCTAACACTGTCGAGGGATACAGCCTCTTAATTGGAACTCGTTCCTCGTTTCTTTCACGGTCTATGAATCGATCGGCCAGAACGTCGAATGCGCCAGTGTTCTTAATTCTTATTCGCGCGTTCGTACACGTTTTATCAGCTCCGATATTTCGCGCCACCGCTCTCACTTTATGATATAACGTAGATTGAATTCGGATTTATCAAACAGCAGGCGAGATTCGTTTGTTTGGAAGTTTGAAGCACGTAAATATAACGTTTTGCTTATAACATGAATATTTCAGGCATCGGAATTATAATATTAACAAGTGGAACTAGATTACAATGTGTATAAAATTTGCATCAGAGAAATCAGAGAAAAATGGGAGAGAATATAATACAATAAAAAAGACACGACACATTTCTATTTATGAAATTCATCGAAAATTAGTCAGTAACGCATGGTTTTGAAATTAGAAATTTTGTTTATTTCATTGGCTTTGGCGTTAAATATTCTATTCATTTAGAAAGAAAACAGCATCCAAGCGAAAAATGTAAGTCTACAAGGATGACTATCAAATTAGAGTTTCGTGAGTCGGAAACTATCACGGAGGAAAGGAAAATGTTCCGTTACAATGGTCATAACCGTAAATAATCCAGCCAATCCGAGGTGTGCCGAGCTATCGTAAAATTTTGAAATGCCCACGGTCGAATGTTAAATTCATTGAGTGATATAATATTTCGAAATAACCACGTGCGTCTAACAGGTACGCGTGCTTGTGTGTGCGACAGCCGTTGAAAGAACCGGCGGAGTGCAGCGAAAGTGTGGGAACCTCCTCTCGAATAGAGGACGTAAACGTACCAGGTGTATGGATATACTTTGCCCGTGTACGATTAACGTATACCTGTGCGTGATTCATGCGTAAATTCGTGTCTGGTTGCCGCGCAGTGACGCAATCTACGGTTATACACACGACGAAAGTTTGTTTTTGCTGTCGGCAAAATTTGCGCTCCACCTGGCGCATCGCGGTCTTCCACGTGGAATCCAAACGCGTTTCATCCCATTTTAATTTATCAGCGTTGCGTAAGAACAATCGATTGTTCAGCGTTATGAGGCGAAAAATTGAGAGAAAAAATTGCCATCTTTGTTTAAAACTACGACAAATGTTCGATTCCTGTTGCAAATTCTAACACGTAGTTTTGTCTTATCGTTTATCTTACGAAAATTGATCCGATGATATTCAATTATCAAATGGAATGAAAATTTCATGTAAAATAAAATCTAGTAGAATAGAAATTGTAATCGTTATCATTGCTAAGAATTTTTTGAATTTCACTTACGTTAACATTGTATGGAAAAATTCTGCTTACTTTCAAGTTACAAATACAAATATGTGAAACACGGCGTAAACACGAAATCAGAACACCTCGTACACGGACATACTTTCCGTGCATCGATCGCAATCGAGAGGGTTTTCGATACGGCGGCGAAACCGCAAGCATACTCGCAGCTATCTGGACACCGTTGTCTGCAGGTACGCGGAAGAGAATCCCTCCCCCCTGAAATCCTTCCCCGGGTTATCGAGACACGTTACACTGAGAGCGACCGCATAATTTGCGGTCGCTCTCAAAGATTAATTATCTCGAGTAGGCCTATCGATTATTCCAACGTCCGTGAAATCGTGCTATCGTCACCGTTTACCGTTCTTTCGCGTCTTCGTCGTCTTCGTAAAAATTCACGAATGAACTTTATATAAAAAAAAGATCTCGATGTAAGGAATTAATTCGATCAAACATATACTATAAAATGCACTTAGCAGGTACTTATAATTCCTCACGAATATATTCACATAAAAAACTTTTTATTGTGTTATATATAAAACATTCTGATATTTGATTACTGTAGTAAGATTCGGCTATAACAATCCTATTGATCAAGTTTGAAATAAATATGGCAATATATATATATATAAAAATATTAACAAGCCTCAATATACAGTTTTGCATACGTGCACACATGTGTAATAAATATCTTATAATTTGCACGTTTCCAGACTCGAGATTTTATCAACATAATCATAATAATCGTCTCTCATCAGAGTAATAATAAAATTCGTAAAAGTGTCTTATGTTTTATGTAAAAGTTGTTCCATGGTAACTCGCATGAACCACTGCGTACATCTAATATGACAGATATTAAACACGAGAGTGCATGCTTATAATATAATTACCATCAAAACACAAGCAACTTGAATTAACTAGTTGCTCATTACCTGATAATAACACCCACTCGTGAAATGCTTCTAATTGACAATTATACCTACCAATTATCCAGATTAAGCTCTAGCTATCTTCACACGTTACCATTTATCTTTATAAATAATTATATTTGAACTTTAATACGCGTTTAATTTGATATTGTAAAAAAGAGACACGATTCCTCGACTACATCTCAATTAGTATTATTCGATCATTCATTGCTATTTTACGATGCTAACTATCAAACTAAAACGAAGCAGCGCGAACAACGAGACGAGGAAGTCCTTTAATCGAATCTCGCCTCGACCACGTCGTAATAATCACGTTGATTTTTCTCGATCGAACGTGACGCTGGACGACGTGCATAGTAAAGTCATCAAGTAAAAAGGTTGATCGTTAATTCGCGAGTCACGTTGCTGATTCGTTCTCTCGTATTCTCCGCGTGTACCAATCTGCAGCTCGCATCGCTGCAATCACCCTCATGAACAATCTGTGGTCCTCATCTGCATCGCGCATTGAGTTGTCCCGCTATACGTCTTTATCATAGATTATCGTCTAGATTGGCCGCCATCTTTCAAGGGAAACATTCAAGGGACAATTTTTCGAACGATCGAATCGTTAATAGATCGTTACGACCACTCGTCCCGACAATGGATTTCGTTTAACTCGAACCCCCAAACGGGACGAGTACGGTTAATTTTTACTTTCGCGTCGTTGCTACTGCCTCTGTTGATCGAATTTTGAAAAACGATCTTTCCAAAATTTTTGCTTATATCGGGAAAATTTGAAACCAATCTGAAAATGTATACAACAGGAATAGCGTGAAAGAACGTACAATAAGCCTGGTTTCACTAGGTATTGTCGCTTGTTCGTTCGTTAAAAATGAAATAATTTATCAATAATATTACAAATACTTCGATTTTTTTACATTTCACAAAATTACGGAATTTAGATCGAAAATATTAAATCAATCCTGGAAATATTTTTCTATAACCACAATATCAAAATAAATAAAAATCTTTATATTTTAAACTGCCAATGAAATGAACATTAATCCTTGATATCTACGCTAAATATGTAGCTGCGTTAAATATTTTATGGATACACTTTCAGATTTGTCCCAACCTGATAATTATGATTGTCGTTGCAGTGTCAATGTGTTCAACAAATGTTCTAATATTTTCATAAATATAAAAATCAATTAGCTTATTATCTTCATCCTGTTCTCAGAAAGGTTCCATTTCAGTATAATAATTGAACACGATTGAAATAGGGAACACGGTGAATGGAAAGGGCAAACCACAAAGAACGTTTTCGTAAGAAATCTATTACCGCGTTACATAAAAAGAAACGATCTTAACATCTCGCAACTTAACATCTCCCGTGGACTAATCTCACGTAAACGCGTGCGTTTCTCGGCTCAGAAACGTGACAGAGATATCAATTCAGTTAAAAGCGAATTAAAAGAAGTTACGAAACACGCGATCTGCGACAAGTTCTAGTATGCAGATCACCGATTATGAAGCCGTGTTCTCGAAGCCGAGACCGTACTAAAAGCTAAATGAAACGACCTGTTGCACTTTGTACGTGCATCGCGCGACTTGCGTTCGCGATTAGATCGTCGATGTTCGACGACATGAGGTTTGATTCAGGCTTCGTTCAAAGATCGATCCTTCCCGGCTTACACGCGTCTACGCTGCTGTAAAGTAGAATCTACATGGTGGTTATCGACAATACCGAAATATTTCATTCGCTATTTGTATTAGCTATCCTTACGGAAGAATGAACGTTAATCGAAAAATAATCAAGACCGTGAAATCCATCCAGTAAATGCATTGATAAGTTTAACATTCGATCAGTCAATGCACGTTTATTTCATAGGAAATTAACTCCATGCATTTTGCATGTTTTCAAAAAGCGACTGGTAACTGGGAAAGAGGCTATAAATGTCAATAATGAAATTTACAACGAGAAATTCTTTGCACAGGCGTTGTGTATTTTCGACATGCATGCACATTCAGTTATTTCAGAATTAATGTGATTTTTCTCCGACAATGAGAATTGCGTTTGAAACAACTGAAAATGTTACTATCGAAATTTCATAAAATTCCAATAGAAAACTTACACGAAGATGATTAATTGTTGATGAATAATTTTGTAATTTTGTAACGGACGTCAGTCGATGGTTTCAAAAGGGACGAGCACGATTACGACTTTATGTATAGATATATGCTTCTTCAAAAAATAGAAGCAGGTCTCTTTGAACACTGCAGCAAGTGGGTATAATTTTTGAAATGACATTTCACCATGATTGAGATTACAAGGCATTATGTAAATTGCCATTGATAGTGAAACGATTTTGTAAGATTTTCGATTCGTTTGTTTCACGGAATTCGCGCTGCACATCGAAATAGAAATATGTTGTAACATTGTTTAACTACGTTGTGTAAAGCGTGACCATTATAATCGATAATCATCGCGTTCATAATTTGTCTTCCGCACAGTGTCGTATAAAATTGTTCCATTAAACGAATTCTAACTTGGGTAATTTAAACCTCTAATTTAAGAACACTCTCGTTCTCGACAGAACTAAAAACACTTTAGATAGAATTTTAGCGACTCTCGTCGAAAATAAAAATTACTTAGCTCGACAAAATCAGTCCCAATAGATCGGCCTAGTCAAAAATTAATTTCGATAACAGTAGGTCAACAAAACCAAAAACTCAGTTCCAAATAAAAAAAAAAGAAAAGAAAAAAAGAAAAGGCAATTCCAGTAGCTCGAGAGAATTAAAAATCAAGTCTCTCTCTCTCTCTCAGCAGTCGACTAAAGGCTTTCGTTGGAACGTAGCGAAAACAGCAGCACGGTGGTAGAAAAGGGGTAACACGAAGAGGCAATTATCAGAAGCATTTTGCATACTTTTCAACCGCGTGAAAAGGAAGAAACGCCGGAGTCCCGCGAAATTGGATAATTCGTTAGCTGCAGGTGGCTCTCTCGGGCCAGTGTTCTCGATCTCTTCGAAACCCGCCGAAACCCGGCAGGCCTGCGGGTGGTTTTATCCGGTTGTCGATAATAGCGCCCAGCGGGTCCGTTCCCATCTTGCACGAGACCGTGCCTGTACGTACCTAATTACCCAGCCATCATCGACGACGAAAGCGAAAGAGCGAGGAATACAGAGAGGCTGGAACGAGAACGCAGAGTAAAGAGAGAGAAGTGCCGATCGACGAAGGGAATTGTTCCGAAAGGGGAGAAACGGACCACGTGCTGAAGAGAAAGCACGTATGCCGTTTCATTATCGTAAATTAGTTCGTTCCTGCGGCGGGGAGCAATCTTGCAAACGGCACGCGCGGGATGGTTTTACGTTCAGTTTTTGTTTTAAAATCGGAGTATCTTAGCTTTTCGTATTCCTAGGTTCGTAACATATGTATTATGTATTCTTATTGACTTTAAGACTGAGATAATACCCGAAGAATTCGGTTCATCGGCGATTAAATAGAGTGGGTAGTTTTATACAGAGTAACTTTGCCACACAGATAAATCTTTAAAAGTTTTTACAAAGGATATTGGAAACACGTTTTTGTATACTTGACACATGTTAGATCTTAAGAATAAATAATGAAATATCTAAATTGATTAATAATACATTGAGTCGATTTAAAAATCATATTGTGAGAATACTGCAAATATCTCCTCGAACTGCAATATACAATATAAGAACTTGGAAATGCTTGTTCTATCGCTCTCGATGCTCAATTACCCTATCTAGAAACGTGTTTGAAATAACCCATAAAGTCCAAACATGCGTTAGAATCGTGCAGTAAATGGATTTTAATGAAGGCAGATGAATAATGAAATTTGTAAGTTCCGATCGAGAAGATTTTATCTCCGTTCCCCGTCGTAAACGAGCGACAAAAAATTCGTATATATTTCCATACGATCGGCGTGGTTGCGTAATTCGAAATTCCGTAATTCGAATATCGAGGCGTTTTATATCTTGTCTTCTCTCCTTTTTCTTTTTTTTCTTTTTTTTTTTTTTTTTTTTT